TATGTCTCCATTGTAAGAAAGAAAATGGTCCTTGAAATTATGCAACACTTATTAAATAATACTGCCTTTTTAAAAAAAAAAGTTTGTCTTAAATTTATTGTGAAATACATACAAGCACAATTTTACTTCCATTTAAGTCCCAAGGGATGCACTTTACATAGATTATAAGATTTGATGCAAATTTAAATAGACTCTCTGGTGTAACAACATCATGTGTAAATGGTATTTTAATATGAAGCTAAATGTCCACACAACATTATGGGAATAAAAACAAATCACATTCTATAAGTAAGACCTTTGTGAACAATGGGGGCTCTGAGGTGTTTCTTTCCAGTGCCAATAAATAACTGGTCAATTCACTTAACCTGCTGAAAGCTGAAAAAAGTCAATTCCCCTTCAAGGGATCAATAGCCTGTGAGGCAGAGAGGGGAAAAAAGGCCAATCTCAAATCAGAAAACCTGGCCAGAATCCATCTTCAAACTAATAATTGTTTAATGCAATCCAACAGCCTGTCACAGGAAGAGGTAATTTGCTGTAGAATACTATTGCTTCTTAAAGGTGCCCAATATGTCTCCAAATTATATTTAAATTATGGCTACCATTTTATTTGTAGAAGGTCTTCCAGAAAGCAATGGATCACTTTGATAATTGCCTGTATATATCTTAATTAATCATGCAAAACACAGATGGCTTTGGAATTAAATGGACTTGTATTGAAATCAAACTCCTACTGGAACCATATATGACCTTGTAAACGTGACTTACTTTATCCAAGCCTCAGTTGCTGCATGTTTCATGATTGTAATGGGCATAATTAACACCTCAAGGAATTGTGGAATATATTAAGTGAACTATTACACCACAGGAAAATTTTTCAGTTGTAATAATAGAAAATCTTCATATAAGGTGTAAAGGAGTGTTAATTAATGCATGAGTTTTGGAGTGAAACTGAATACACTGAGTCACACTCCTATTAAATTCATAAATTGCCATGGTGACTAGCAAAATGGACTGGGCTTATTGGATATTGCCTGGGTTCCATGTTCTTCTATACCATGTTCTTCTATTCAATCAGAGAATCATAACTGCATTATCAACAGGTTATAATATATCAGAGATTAGGAATCCAGCCTTGCACAACTGTTGGAGTGAAATCTAGCAGTTTCTGTAAAGTTTTTTTCAATGATGGGCTAAGCTGGTGGTCTGCAAACTGAGGTTTCCGAGCCACATGTGGCTCTTTGGCCCCTTGAGTGTGGCTCTTCCACGAAATACCACAGCCTGGGTGAGTCTATTTTGAAGAAGTGGGGTTAGAAGTTTAAGTTAAAAAATTTTGGCACTCAAAAGAAATTTCAATCGTTGTACTGATGATATTTGGCTCTGTTGACTAATGAGTTTGCCAACAACTGGGCCAGGCAGTGGAGGAGGTAAGAATGTAAGTGCACCGCAGGCTAGAACAAATACAAACCGGAAGTCCAGGCTGGACTGACACCTGTGCCCTATTTGCCTCAGGTGTTTTGCTGAAGGAGGTCAACAAGAGGACAGAACTTCCGGTTGATCTACTAACAAGGTGTTAGGAATCCTAGGCTCCTCTATCTCCAGCTCCTGGCACATCCATCTGTTCACTTTCCCCGCCTCAGGAGTGCTTTGCAAGGACACAGTCTTGGGGGAGCAGTGCATGGAAACCATCTGGATGGCATAGGTGACTGAACTCAGGTCAGGCCTCTATTTAAACATTAAGTGGTTGCGGGCTGGTGTGGAGACCTAGTCCTGTGCTAGTTCCCTTGCTTATTACACCTGCTACCTTGGGACCTGGAGAGGCCCAAGACCTTGTCCTCCCTGTAGGGGCCAGTTTGCAAACCAATAATTAGCAGCCAGTAGAACAAGGGAAGGACTGGGGAAAGACTTCTGTGGGGAAATGCCCAGTTGGCCGTGGACCTCTCTGTGGGGAAGGGTGACCCTTATGTCAGATGCTTGTGGACCCCGAGTGAGTACAGGATGCTCTGGATCGATATGCTTGTTTGGGGAGCTGAGCGGGGAGCTCTGTGGCAAAAGAGAAAATGCAGGCCTGGGCAGTGATTTGTGTTCTCCTGTGGGTTGTTCGTCGATCATCAGTTCAACTAGAGGCTGAAGCCGAGTTAGCAAGTCAGAATAACTGAGGTTAGAGCAGTGGGTGTCTGCTGCTCTGCTGGCTTCTGGGCTGGCAAAGTCGGGGAGCAGGATAATGAGGTGGAGACTTCAGAGTGTGATTCTGCAAAGCAGGGTACAAGCTGCCTTGGAATAGAGTTAGAGTTTGTGACAAAGCCTGATAGGAACTCTAAGAGGGGGAATTCCTGGGAAGGGCAGGAAAGTGAGAGGAGGATGTGGTAATTGACATGAAATGGTGAGATACCCAGCGCCTCTGAATCCTAATACAAAGAAAACAACAACCCCAGACTCACCCAGATACCTGCCTTTTCAACCTGCTGCTTGGGTGGTGTCTGGCCATGGATGGTGGGCATCTGATGGACATACTTTTCACAGTGGGCGTACTTGTATGCCCCATCAATAAAACACATGTTTGTTCTGTGGCTATAATGTAGAAGCCACGGGTCTTTCTCATCCAGCACACACACACACACACACACATACACACACACACTGTTGGGCCAGAGACCCCCCTGGTCTCTGGTCCTGACCGGTGGCGACCCCGAGAGAGAGAGCCAGGAGACCAAATTGATGCAAATGCAAGAGGCTTTATTCGAGCGCTCGGTCTCACAGCCTGCAGCCACCAAGGGGTGAGTGCTAGCTGGAGCCCCGAACAAGGGGAAGGGTACAGCTTTTAAAGGCAAAAACCACACGCAGGTGGTTAAAAAATTTTCCATTCTATTCTAGGTTATGCAACGGTTATATCCTGTAGCTATCATTTGCTCAAACCCACAAGATTAGCCAAGCAGATAGGTTGTTTTGCAACCCAGGACCAAGAGCATTCTGCGGTTAAGGCGTTAGGTTCTTGGAACTGGGGCAGGGTAGGTTGACGAGGGGGGGGTTTTGGGAGGTTCAGTCTAACATTCCCCCCTTTTGTTTTGGAGAGTCCGAATCATCGGACTCAAAGGGTGGTCTCGGTGTCTAGGGGTTGGTATTGTTGCTGAAGCACTAGCATGTGGACTGACTGAATCCTGTCTCTGACGAAAGAGACCAGGCAGTTTAGGATGCACGGCCCAATGGTAAGTAAGAGAATCAAGATTACCAAGGGGCCCAGAAGCGAGGATAGGAGAGTAGTTAACCATGGAGCACTATCAAACCATTGTTCGAACCAGCCTTTTCTGCTTTCTCTTTCTTTTTGTCTTGTTTTTAATCTTTCTCTGAGTTTAGCCATGGAGTTTTTTATTAAGCCCGAGTGGTCTGCATAAAAGCAGCATTGTTCTTTGAGTGCAGCACATAAACCTCCTTCCTTCAGAAAGAGGAGGTCGAGCCCCCGCCTGTTTTGGAGGACTACCTCTGATAAGGAAGTTAGGGATTCTTCTAGTTTGGTGATGGATTGCTCTATATTCTTTAAGTTTTCATCAATGGCTATTCTTAGTTCTTCCGTATACCTAGGGGCCTGGATCAATGCAGCTGCCCCTGTTCCCACTCCGGTTGCCACTCCTAGTCCTAGAAGAGCGGCAAGTGAGAGGGAGACTAGCTCCCTCTTACTTCTTAATGGCAGGCCGAGGCTCGAGTCGAATTCTCCTTCAAAGGCCTCTGCTTGATAATACGTGATTCGGGGAACTAATTGGACTAGAATACAATAGTCTGTTAGCGGGTTGAAGACCTGGGTGGCTAGGCAGGGTGTAAGCCCAGTATTGCAGGCCCACCATCCTCCTGTGGGGGGTACTAAGTAGAAAGCTCCTATCGAGGGAGGGGTCTTCAGGGTGTTGTTACAGAAAATAGTCCGGTCTTTAGGTACCCTTCCTAAGCAAGTTCCTTGTCCAGAGAGTTCAGTCAGAGTCAAGTTCCCCTCTGTCCCTCAAGAGCAATGGCCGTGGTTGGTGGTGTTGTTGTAATTACCTGAGAAAGCTATTCCTTCGTAGTAGGGAGGTCCAGCAGATAGGCAGAGCCAGCAACCTTCAGTCAGGTCTGGTGCTGATCTATTCAGAGTACTATATACTCCCTCTACTAGGCCTAACAGTCTCTGTGCCTGGGTATTTTCGAGAGTTGGGGGTGGAATTATTGGCGTTGTCTCTAAAGGCGTGGACGAGGAGGGGCCTGGGCTAGGAGTAGGGGTTATTATTTTCTCTCGAATCTCTCGCCCAGAGAGGACTTGATTGGGTCCTATCATAGGGGAAGGTTGGTAACCACCAATTCCCAACCGAATCCAGAAAAGAAGACCATCATCATGGCCGTCTTTATATAATCTAAGCCCCCATTTCTTCCCTGCCGTCCAATGGTATACTGCTGCTGCCTTCCCAGCTGAAGTGAAGGAGATGTTTAAGATGTTTATCCATCCCCTAGCCTGGCTGTTCTGGGTTCGATTTCGTCCCACTTGAATTAAATCCCACTGGGCTGGGTTCCTGATCCAATAGGCCGTACCTGAGATCTCGCATCCCCATTCTGCACAAAAGTACTCCCGCTCCCCTCTACAATTCTTTCTATGCCCCATCCTGTCTCTGGGGCATATATAAAAGGTAGTACGGGCTAATTGCTCCCGAACCCACAGATAACTACAATGTACCCCATATTGTAAGTCAGCCCCGCGACCTATGTAGTCGCGGCTCTCTTGTCCCTTTCTGGTTTCTTCTGCCTCAAGAAGTGGTATATCCCAATGTCTCGCCCCAGCTGCCAGGGCACAGAGATCTGGTGTAAGGTCGGGCCACCAGGTGCCGGGAGGGGCCACCTTCGTTATGGACCAGATAACTTTTCCCGTGTGACCAGATATTACTTTCCAAGTTAGTCTCTTGGGGGCATGGGGATTGCAGTCGGTTTGAGGGATACTTAGGAGAATAAGAAGTCCGACCAGAGCGGGGCTGAAGGTCAGGGCGCCGTCAAGGGGTCGGGTGAGTAGAGTCGGGGCGCCTGTAGATCCTGAGTCGGAGGGGGTTGTCCGTCTTCTCCGCGACCCAGCCATCCGGATCCTGTTCAGGTGCTTTCTTGACGTGCGCGGCATGGACCCAGGCTGGGACTCCATCAACCCGGACAGCTGTGGGTGTGGTCAGGAGGACGACGTAAGGACCCTTCCACCTGGGCTCCAGGCTGGCGGTGCGGTGGCGCCGGACGTAGACCAGGTCCCCGACCTGAAACTGGTGTGGAACACGAAGGTCCCCCGGCTTATAGGCCTCTGCCAGGGGAGTCCATACTTCCTTCTGTAAGGACTCGATGGCTTTCAGCCTGGCCAGGAGAGATTGGGGGGTAGAGATAGAAGGGTGACTATCCCAGGGATCTATGGCCAGGGGTGGAGGCGCTCCGAAGAGGAGTTCAAAGGGGGTCAACCCAACAGAATTCGGAGTATTCCTTACTCTAAAAAGGGCATAGGGGAGGAGGACTGTCCAGTCTGTTAAGCCAGTCTCTATGGATAATTTAGTTATGGTCTCTTTTAGGGTTCTATTCATTCTTTCTACCTGTCTTGAACTTTGGGGATGGTAGGCACAATGTAATTTCCAATTAATCCCCAGTATCCTGGCCAATCCCTGACTTACCTGGGCAACAAAAGCCGGTCCGTTATCAGACCCGATTACCTTGGGCAGTCCGAATCGAGGGAAAATCTCCTCCAGGATTTTCTTGGCTACCGCCATAGCAGTCTTATGTTTTGTGGGAAAGGCCTCAACCCATCCTGAAAAGGTATCTATAAATACTAGTAGGTATTTATATCCATACCTGGCAGGTTTTACCTCAGTGAAGTCAACTTCCCAGTAAACTCCTGGCTTATCTTCTCTTTCCCGTTTCCCTTCAGGGATGGCAGAAGTTTTTGCGTTGACCAACTGACAAGCCCGGCAGCTTCGGATGACTTTCTCTAGGGCCTTGGTCAGTCCTTGGAAGTGGTATCCAGTACTGCCACAGATTTTTTTGAGGTTTTTTTCTCCAAGGTGGGTGATTCTGTGAAGTTGGGCAAGGTACTCGGCCGCCGCCTCCCGGGGGACAACCGGCTTACCTTCCGTCCGGGTAGTCCAGATGCCTTGCTTCTTTAGGAACAGATCAGGCTGGCTGGAAAATTTTTCTTCCTCTTCTTGGGAGTAGTGTAGAAAAGTCGGCTGGGGAGGCTTCAGGGGCCACACCGTCAGGGTGAGCAGGCAAGGTCCGAGGGCTGCTCCTCGGGCTGCTGCGTCGGCTCGTTTGTTCCCTTCTGCAACCTCAGATTTTCCTTTCTGGTGCCCGGGGCAGTGTATAATGGCTAGGCGTTTAGGTGCTAAGACAGCGTCTAACAATTGTAGGATCTCCGATTTGTTTTTGATTTCTTTTCCTGCCGAAGTTAACAGGCCTCGCTGTCGGTAGATGGCACCATGTACATGTGCGGTGGCAAAAGTATATCCACTGTCAGTGTAGATATTGACTGCCCTCCCCTCTGCTAACTGTAGGGCTTTAGTGAGGGCGATTAGTTCTGCTTTTTGGGCCGAGGTCCCTTCGGGGAGGCTACTTGTCTATACCGTATCTTGAAGGCTTACAACCGCAGCACCTGCCTTCCGTTGCCCATCGGTGGCTGAAAGAGCTGGTGTTCATCCTCTAGGTGGAGAGTGAGGGCCATCGGGGGTCCCCATTTGGTAGTAGGTCCTGCCGGGGTGAAGGTAATCTGGGCCCCCAGCTTGGTCAAGAGGTCTCTTCCCAGGAGGGGAGCGGGGCACTCAGGTATGACAAGGAATGAGTGAGTCACTTCTCCCCGGCCTAGGTCAATGCTCCGGGTAGTGGTTCAAGGGTATTTCTTATGTCCGGTCGCCCCTTGGACCAGGGAGGCTTGGCCAGATAGTTTTCCTAGAGGCCGCTTGAGGACTGAAAACTGAGCCCCGGTGTCAATCAGGAAATTGACCGGTCTTCCCTCTACATTGAGAATTACCCGGGGCTCGGGGAGGGGAATCGAGCCCTGACCCCCCTAGTCGCTGTCCTCATGGAGGGCCAGAACCGGATCTTTCTTGGGCATCTGGGGGCATTTTTTCTTCCAGTGTCTTTTTTCTTTGCAGTAGGCACATTGGTCTCAGTCTAACGGAGGTCGATTGCCGCCCTGGCGTTTCCCTTTCTGTCCTTCCTGTTTCTTTTTCTGATCTGATTTCTCTCCTACCGCTGCGGCCAGGATACGAGTCAGTCGCTTCTCTTCCCGCTTCTCTCTCTGTTTCTCTTGCTCCTGTCTTTCCTTTTCCTGCCTCTGCTCCTTTTCCTCTTCTGTCTTTCTTTTATGATAAACTTTCTCGGCCTCTTTAACGAGGTCCTTGAGAGCTAAATCCTGTAACCCGTCCATCCTCTGTAATTTCCTCCTGATATCCGGGGCTGACTGACCAATGAAAGCCATTGCCACCGATGCACTATGACCCTCAGACGTGGGGTCAAAAGGGGTGTATCGGCGATAGGCTTCCATTAACCTTTCTAGGAACACTGCCGGAGGTTCCGTGGCTCCCTGTATAACTTCCCTCACCTTGGCCAAATTAGTGGGGCGACGGGCAGCCCCTCGGAGACCTGCCATTAGAGTCTGGCGGTAGACTATCAGTCGCTCCCTGCCTTCTGCAGTGTTAAAATCCCAATCAGGGCGGGCTAAGGGAAAGGCAGAATCTATGAGATGGGGGAGCTGTGTCGGGCGCCCATCCGGGCCCCGAACATTCTTCCTAGCTTCTAGGAGAATTCTCTCTCTTTCCTCTGTAGTAAAGAGGGTCTGGAGAAGTTGCTGACAATCATCCCAAGTGGGTTGATGAGAAAACATGAGGGACTCAACCAGAGCGGTGAGTTTAGACGGGTCCTCAGAGAACGGAGGGTGGTTAGTTTTCCAGTTATACAGATCAGAGGAGGAGAAGGGCCAATACTGAAGGGAGGGAGAACCGGGGTGCCGTCGTCGAGAGGCGGCGGCGGCGGGCCGAGAGGGCGGAGGGGACAGGTGACCGTAGAATCGGGCGAACAAGGAGGCTGGGTCCTTCGACTACGCGTGTGCTGCGAGGGACCACCTTGGGCAGCCTGGACAGGTGGAGGGGCCGGGGGAGTGGAGGGAACTGGGGGCAGAGAAGGAGGATAGGGAGGAGGCGGGTCGAGAAGGAGAAGGTCAGTTTGGGAGTCGCGCAGGGGCGCCTTCTGCGGGACTCCACGAACCTGTGAAACAAGAACCTGAGACTGGTTAGATGGCGGGAGGAAGGGCCGGACCCACGAAGGAGGTCGCTGGGCCAGGTCCTGCCAGACAAGAATATAAGGTTGTTGATCGGGGTGACCAGTCCGGGACTCGAAAACTCGGGAGAGAACCTGGGAAATCAAATTTAAATCAAAAGAACCATCGACCGGCCAACCAACACCAAAAGTGGGCCACTCGGCTGAACAGAAAGTCTGCCAGGGACCCTTTTTCACATTTACCGAAAGATCGAAACCTCGTCCTCGGACCTCTTTCCAATGATCAAGAGTCGCACTCAGCGGAGTCGACTTCCCCTGACCCATGTCACTGAACAAAAAACCAAAACAAATAATGACAGAAATGAAACCACAGACAACTATAAAACCGGGCCGCGGCAATCCTCGGTCCAACCACAATGTGACAGGCGACGGAGTCATATAAAACCTGACCAGAACAGATGGAAATGATCTCAGCTAGAGATCAATTTCCCCGACCCCGGGACGTCTCCCGGGGACAACGGTTTTTGAGAGCCAGACCCCCTGTCTGACCCAAAGACTGTCCTCTCTCACGACAGAGACAGTCCCGTTGGAACCAGAATAAACAACCTGACCAGAACAGACGGAGGCGATCTCTGACAGAGATCAATCTCCCCAACCCCGGGACGTCTCCCGGGGACAACGGTTTTTGAGAGCCAGACCCCCTGTCTGACCCAAAGACTGTCCTCTCTCACGACAGAGACAGTCCCGTTGGAACCAGAATAAAAACCGAAACCAGTCGCCGCACACAGGGACATAACACAAAGACAGACAGTCGGCCGACACAAAAACTCACCTCCAAGATGGTCTTGGTCGTCTCTGTGGCCGCCACAGATCCCGGACGAGCCCCCAAATGTTGGGCCAGAGACCCCCCTGGTCTCTGGTCCTGACCGGTGGCGACCCCGAGAGAGAGAGCCAGGAGACCAAATTGATGCAAATGCAAGAGGCTTTATTCGAGCGCTCGGTCTCACAGCCTGCAGCCACCAAGGGGTGAGTGCTAGCTGGAGCCCCGAACAAGGGGAAGGGTACAGCTTTTAAAGGCAAAAACCACACGCAGGTGGTTAAAAAATTTTCCATTCTATTCTAGGTTATGCAACGGTTATATCCTGTAGCTATCATTTGCTCAAACCCGCAAGATTAGCCAAGCAGATAGGTTGTTTTGCAACCCAGGACCAAGAGCATTCTGCGGTTAAGGCGTTAGGTTCTTGGAACTGGGGCAGGGTAGGTTGACGAGGGGGGGGTTTTGGGAGGTTCAGTCTAACAACACACAACACACACACATCACATACCACGCATCACACACCAGCAAATAAACACCACACATCACACACACCACATGCTACACACAAAACACAGAACACATACCACACAATGTGCCATATACCACACACCACACACACACACACACACACACACACATACCACATGCTGCACACAAAACACAGAACACATACCACACAATGTGCCACATACCACACACCACACACACACACACACACACACACACACACACATACCACATGCTGCACACAAAACACAGAACACATACCACACAATGTGCCACATACCACACACCACACACAAACACACACACACACACACACACATACCACATGCTGCACACAAAACACAGAACACATACCACACAATGTGCCACATACCACACACCACACACACACACACACACACACACACACACACACGGCCCAAAAGTCAGAAAAACTACAGAATAATCCAACACATTTTTGAGCAGTTGCATCCAAAGCTCTTTCAGCCTGAAGAGGTGAGTCAACAGGTTAACAATATGCATACACTCCGGAGTGGCTGCTGCTTTATTTCTGACTTTCAAATCTCATGACCAACTCTAACTAAAATACACCAGAATTCTGAAAAATGTAGTTCAGCATAGCCACGTAAACTCATTACAAAGACCACTCTGCCTTAGAGCTAGGGTGGCAATCAAACCCCTCAAAGCCCAGAGAGCATGACATTTTTACGGAAAGAATGGATGAAGTGGACATGGAGTCCAGACAGTAGCATATTTCCAATGGATCTGTTTACGTTGTCCAAGGTTGAGCCTACTACATGTAAACACTCACTATTGATAAAATGACTGACAACAAAAAAGCAAAAGACAAACTTTTGGTTTGTTTAAACCAAAAACTATATATTTTTAGACAATATAAAATGTATTCGGTGAATATTAGCTATGCCCTTCTGTACTTCATTGCTGTAAAAATCATTGGTTATAAAATGCAGCATGATTATGTTATTATCACAAACATTTTGGTTATTCTACTCTAACCCTTATTTAATTTTTGTCATTCATCATGGTGTGATATCCTTTATTAATGTGACACAAATCTTACTCCATTGGGATGAAATAATAAAGGATGAAATGAAGGATCACACTGTAGTCATTTTCCTCACCTTCTGAATATGGGTACCATGGTTAAGCAAAGACAGTAATCAATATTCAGAAAATGTTCTCTGAAACTCCACAAGCAAACTAGCATTTCATTTAATGGAAATCTTCATAGCCATCCTCTCCTCATGAAAACACTCATCTCACACATTAGTGCACGTGTAGGTCTATTATAAAACCTAAACACTTCCATTAGATAAAAAGACCTAAACTGATTATGAAAAATGCACTATTTCTTCCAAAGTATCCTAATCAAACACTCAGTAGTACAATATTTTTTAGGCTAATTACTTTAATCCAGTTTTAATTAAGCTTATGTTTCCATGCCAACAAATAGTTTTAAGTTGTTGAAATCTTGATGTTTCAGAATATGACTAAAATTAATGACCTAAGAGCATTTTACTCAGTTTCGGAATCTTGTAGTGCAATTTAGTATCACTATAGCAATGATTTTAATATTAACAACACATAATGATAAAGAACTTTGTAAAAAACTGCACTGTACAATAAGATTTATTATTAATATTCCAAATTTTGTGCATGTAATTTTTCCAGTGCATACCTACTTAAATTATATTTGGATTTACAAAAATAAGAATACATACATGAGGGGGTTGAAACACAGGCAAACACATACCAACTAGATATCAGCCTCAAATGCTCCCCATTTCCAAACATTCAAAGTCTATATGCTGGCACTATTGTACATCCAAATTGAAGATTAAGACCAACAACCAGACAGGTGGCATTGGTCTAATTTGTAAATTCCAATTATCTTACTAGAAAAGAGAATACATTTTCAGACTGAAGGAAGAACAAGCATAACTCACAAATGCCCAGAAAAAGAGAAACACCAGTTGAGGATATATATATATATATATATATATATATATATGAATATATATATTCATATATATATATATATATATTCATATATATATATATATATATATATATATAAAATATATATATATTTTATACGACAGAATTTTATTTTTGTATTCGTACTGACTTTTCATCAAATATCCTTGTTATTTTGTTGTTGTTGTTGCTTTTGTCAAGATCCAAGTAGGCAAATGAAAACCGTTTTATTTCAACAGTGATAATTTAATGCAGGGAACCTGTTATATAGATATTTGAGGCCTAAATACAGAGAGAGAGAACATGGAGTAACTCAGAGATAACTGCATGAAACAGCTATCATGTCTAGGGATGGAGAAGAAAGGGTTGAGATTGGGATTAAGAAAACAGACTACATACCTGGGGCTTAGAACTCTGACGGAGAGTGATATCTGGGCGCTGCGGGTACCTCTGCGGGCAAGTCTTGTGGCTGGCTCTGGTGCTTAGGGATGCTGGAGGTTGGCAGCACTACATGGTGCTTTAGCAAATTGCTGCTCCTGGGATGAAATGTTGCCCGTAGGGGGTCCTGCCAGGAACAGCAGAGAAAAAATGGGAAATTCCTGCTTTCCTTCTTCAGTCTCCTCTATGTCTATTGGCTCAATAGGCTTGAGGAACCTGCATCTCTTTTTGGTTGAATTTAATAAGGTGACAGCTAACAGGATAGAACCACAGCTTGCATCCTGTTAGCCACGCCATCACAGAGCGATGGCAAAGGTAATTAAAGGGAAATTTAACGCCTTCTGACAGTAGATAAATGGTCGGCCAGCACACTGTAGTTATAGTTTATTCATATTTTAGTTGGTCTGTTAGTTTCTCTCTGGTATTAAACATTTCTCTATTCCTCCTGGAATTTTTCAGGTGGCTTTAAATGCCTCAGTTCCTTTTAATTTTCTACTGTACATTGAAGTCCCTGATCTTTCTTTTCAAATCAATGTCTAATGGTCACTCCTTCATTTAACAGGTGCTTTTATATATAAAATTTTATATATAAAATGGTCACTTTTTATATAGAATGGTCACTCCTTCATTTAATAGGTGCTTTTATACATAAAGTTTCAAACACTTTTAGAATCCATTACCCCTGTCCTCTTTTAATTTAAATGATAATATGGAGAAAGATTTATAGAGGAAAAATATTAAATTTATACTTAATCATGTTTGAGAAAAATTATTTTTACCTTAAAGTTTATTATAAACGTATTTTACATAGTGAAAGGTGTGAAGAAATGTTACAGTTATTAAATGCAAATAACGGGTAAGGCATGGTGCTAGTTGCATCTCTGATTTCACTGGGTGTGTGACAATGACAGAACACTTACATTGTTTCTTTTGGTAATGGAGATAAAATATATACACTGCTTTGTTTATGGATTATTATGAGAGCTAATAAAAATGAAAGCCATAGAAGTGAGTTGGTAAATGCAGAAGTGACAGGTGTGTGTAGGTTTCTGTAGAATTGTTAGGGAGAGCCGAGACCGGTTTGACTCAATGGATAGAGCATCGGCTTGGGGACTGAAGGGACCCGGGTTCGATTCCGGTCAAGGGCATGTACCTTAGTTGCAGGCATATCCCCAGTAGGGGGTGTGTAAGAGGCAGCTGATCGATAACTCTCTCTCATCGATGTTTCTAACTCTCTATCTCTCTCACTTCCTCTCTGTACAAAATCAATAAAATATATTTAAAAAAAATTGTTAGGGAGAATGATTTCATAAGACCTTATGGTGCTCATTCTGGAACAGTCAGTGTAGTGTGACCTGGAAAACCCCCAAGCTCATTGACTAATCAGTGGCTGAGATTTAGTGAACCTTTTGTGACTTTCAATTTGAGACTCGTATTTAATACCACATTTTCTTTGCAATCACCTTGATGTGTGGCCTGTTTCATCATTACAAAGCCACATAGCCACACATGGCATTCTAGTTTTAATCCCAGTGACTATCACCTACAGTTAGAGGTGTTGTCCAGAAAATCCTGAGTAAGTGTTGTACATACTCTATAAGAACCTACATTAACTTAGATTACTCCAAGCATGCCGTGAGAATTTGATGGTAATTTACCTTGTCATTTTGATCGGATATAGGCATAAACATTCTGATTTATTACCATTAGCTATTTTTAAAGGAGAAGAAAAGCTAGTAAATATTGAGTTCTGAGGAATAAGGATTACTAGGGAAAATAAATACTGTAGCAGCTTAACAAGGACTTTCCCTTGACATTTCTTTCTGTACCTATATACTAGAAGGAAACTTCCAGAATAGG